CCGCCTTGAGCATCGCCTTCAGGGTCGCCTCGAAGGCGCTGTTCTTTGAGGCCCCCCGCAGTTGCTGCTGGGCCGCCATAATTTCCTTAGACGCTTCGGAGATCTCGTGCTGCGCTTCGTTCGTGCATCAGCCTCTCTGCCCTCGTGCGCACCTCGCCAGCGGCGCGGTCTCAGCAGCGGCCGACATCACCGTAGCCGTCAGCTCGGCGGCGGTCTCTCCCGTTGGCCGCCTGAGCGCCGTGGGCGGAGGGCGGCTGGAGGCCCTGTTTTGGAAGGCGACCCGTAGGTGTTTGTCCTTCCTCAACCGCTCGAGGTCGATACGGATCCGGCTGCTTCCGCTGTTCCCCCGCACTCGTCGGTTGGGTGCGACACGGGGGGAGAGGCGGACAGTCGTAAGCACGAGGTACTGGTCAGAGTCTTTGAAGTCGACACGTTTGACGGAGACATTACGCACGAAACGCCGGTCCGTCTGACGCATGAGGATGAAGTCGAGGCGGTACTTCTCCTTTCCCTTGTTAGAGCTCCGGAATGTGTGCTGCACTCCACCTTCTGGTGTCCGGAAGTAGGTGTTGGTCAGGGAGAGTTGGTTGTCTGATGCCAGTCCAAGGAGTCGTTCCCCGTTGTTGTTCATAATGTCGCGTCCGTACGCGCCCATAATCTTGGCATCGCAGCACCCGTCTCGCCTCCTACCAGTACGTGCGTTGGCGTCCATTAGCACCACGAGATGGTCACGGCTGTGAACCTCCCGGATCGCTGCGTCGAGAGCAGTCCAGAAGGAGTCCTTGGCGTTAACATCACCGCCCGCGGTGGTGCGGGCAGTTTCCATGGGGGCGTACCCCACCACGAAAGTTACTCCGCAGGTGCGGCCAATTTGTAGACGCACCTTCATCAGCCTCGGGCTAATGCACTCCACCGTCCTACCTTCCTCGCCCACACTCTCCCACATGGCCTCCTTGATCGCTATGCCCACACCGTGTACGCCCCTCTTGTCCTTGGTGCCAGCACGGGCGCCACTCCAAATGATCACGTACCCGTCGTGTGCAATTGAACCTTGCCCCGCTCGTCGGGTCTCCTGAAGTCCTATCACATCACANGGTGCGGCCAATTTGTAGACGCACATTCATCAACCTCGGGCTAATGCACTGCACTCTGCGTGCTTGAAACCAACCCAACGTTTTTTCCCCCAACCGCACCCAACGATTTGTTCACCCTACCGTTATCGTTCGGTCTCACAAGCTTGCTGAGTGTTCGCTCCGCGTTTCGCTTTTGTTCCCTCGATGACGAAAGGTCGAAAATGCGAAGCTTACCTTGGGGCGGGCGGGCGTAAGGCAACCACATGTGGCTTCACTTCGCCGACAGCATAAAAGCACACTGTAAGGAGATTCAACGACATCTATTGAGATGTTACCATTGCAAGCCAGCAGTGTTTCAGCCTGTCCGAAGTAATTGTGTGTGTATAACACATATTTCTATGGCAGCACTGCGTGAGAGGCACGAATCGAGCACGTGGGGGATCAAAGGGTACCTGGATTGTGGGCGACGTCTTTTGGCAAACTCTTCGTCTTGGCCTCGTGTCTGCATCAACGCCACCTCATTTTTTGGTCGACATCGACGTCGGTGCTAGCCTGCAACTTTTGTTGTGTCCCTGAACGCTGCTAGCCCGCAACTTTTGTTGTGTCCCTGAACGCTCTCAGAGCAACCATATCTCTCTCGTTAGAAGAACGCACTGGGGTCGCTCTTGTTTGTTCCTAGCCCTCGTTCCCTAACCGCTGCTGTTGGGTTGGTGCTATATGATCGCGATGTTGTCGTGGTGTAGCGTCGACGTCTTGCTGTGCAGGGTGAACAATATCCATGTGGTGAGCTCATAGCAACATGTGTGCTGCTCTCCTTGCTAATTCGAATACGTCTTAACGATAACCTCGACTGACTGTCGGGGGCACGAAAAGGAGTCGTAGCTAATGGTACTCAGATAAATTTAGCTCATCTACACAACACTGGTTTTCGAACCATTTCATCATGCCAGCAACATTCGTCGACCGTAAATGCACTTCTATCTCATGCGTTCCACAGACCGTTGCTCTTATGTTTATTCTGGTCGCTCGCTGCTAGAATAAAGTACAAAAAGGTATGCCAAGTTGTCTCTGTTGCCCTAAGAACGCTGCCACCTCTCCCTCGTCTGCCCTTTCATAACGAACGTTGTCGATGGCACCGAGGGCACGAAACCGACGGCAGCAATGTTGGCGGGGCAGCCCCACGGCTCAGCCACTTGGCGTGCGACAATCCTGCGTCAAGATGCCGCGCCCGACGACGTCAAAGCCGGATCAGCCCGCGGTGGGGCCGCGCCCGACGACGTCGGAACCGGATCAACAGGCGGTGGGGGGCCGAGGGAGGCATGGGAAGCGTGTTTGAGCGAAGATGCCGTACGTCCCAGCGCGGGGGCCATCCTGAACGCCAATACCCTGTGGTATGCCTGCGGCCGCTCCGACGGTGACGGCCGTGACGTCTGTAAAGAGCTGAGGTGCTCGTCCTGCTGGGAGGGGGGAGGGAAGAGTCTGAAAAATGACGACATCATCTGCTATCGGATCAAGCACGGCGTGCCTGCTAAGATCAGCAGCGGGCTGGGGCGGTTCAAGGGGGGCGACGTGAAGGCCGCAACCGCGGGCGGGGCAACCCCGCGCGACTGGGCGGTGGGCAGCGGGCAAGGAGACGCTGTAGAAATCTTTACGAACCCCAAGGCCAAGAGGGACGACTTGAGCGGTGACGGTCATGTCACGTTGTCAAGGATCTTGTACTTCGTCGACCACGAGGGCAACAGACGCCCTGACTCCACCCCTGACGCGGGCCCCGCGGTGGAGTTTGTCCTCACGTACGAGTTCGTCACTTGTGGGTCTGGACGGTCCAAGAAAGCAGATTCCGTCACACAGCACCCCACCTACTGGCTGCAGGGAGGGGTTAAGCAGGTTCCGTCAGTCTACCCGATTGAAGCCATTCGCAGGCATGTCATGATGTACCACCACTGCCCGGGGTCGAGCTTCGCCACCGGGGTCAGTCACACTCCAGCGCCCGACTCTTGCGGACTTCACGATGATCACAGAGCTAGAGGGGGGGGAAGGTTTGGAAGCACCACTACAGGCTAGCAGCGGCCAATCCCTCCGGGCTACGGGACGCGTACATGCTGAACGAGCACTGGCGGATTTCTTTTCAGGACGGTGTTGTCTGAGACAAGATGTGGGCTAGTCAGAGGTGAGATAGGACGTCGTTTCGCTTGGGGTTCGGTACGAAAGCACCTGACTGTTTGCGCCTATTTCGAACACATTTTGATAGTCCACTAGTGGTCTTTGACGTGGGTGGGTCGGGTTGCTTGTGTGGGAAAAATACCCCATTAGCATCCTTCGAGCTCGTCCCCCTCGTGTCATTGAAACATCTCCCTAAAAAAACCTGGTCGCTATTACAGCAAGCTAGACAAGCCCCCGCGTGTATATCTTTTCTCTCTCGTTCTTTCACTCCCCTCCCCCCCCGGTGGGTTGGGTTTTCGTTGCTTGGCAACGATGTCGTAGAAGAACAGCGCGGGGGTACCCCCGGCCTCAACTGAAGCATTTCTCTCTTTTTATTCCCTCCGGGGCGATGTTGTAAAACAAGCCGATCACTTCGTGAGCTCGGCAACCTGGTCACCGTTTTTTTTTGCGGTAACCATGAATGGTGGCCGAGCAGATCATGTTGTGCGGGGTCGAGAACCCTCACTCCGCGCAAAGGGGATATTCGCACACGCTGTGTTCATTTAGTCAAGCACCCTCGAGGCAGTTACACAGTGCTTACAACTGTCTCCGGAGGTGAAACACCAGAAAATAAATTAAGTCATATGCATGCGCAGCTGTCGTCCGTACGCAATGAAGTAAGCACAACATGCCGAACACCNGATCCATCCCTCGAGGGAGTCCATTCGGAAAATGGAGAGCCATGGAGACAGGCGCGAAAATGCTCCCGGTGGTGATCCTGGTGGGAGACCAGATGAGGTTGAGATGCTACGAGGCAAGGTAGCCTCG